GGTAAATGAAAAGTTGGCCCCAGGGCGGCCAGTCAATAAACTACCAACCCCAACCTCATGAGTGCGACCTTTCCTCTGACCAGGCCGGCGTGGGACTACAACATGGCAGAAGGTAGGGGAGAATGTCTGCTTATCACCAGACTCTAATGGCGGGTCTCCGGGCAGCTGCTCTCAAGCCCACTAATTTGGCTAAAGTATACTCTGTTCTGCAGGGAAAGACAGAAACCCAACTACCTACTTAGAAGATTAATGGAAGCTTTTAGACAGTACACCCCCATGAACCCAGAGGCTCAGGAAGTCAGGCAGCTGTTGTAATGTCTTTAAACAAATCAGACACTGTTTTTAGATTTGAAAGACCTTTCTTCAGTTTGCCTTTAGCCCCTCAGAGCAGAAAGCTCTTCGCGCCGAGTGGAATGACCCTGGAAGGAGCATAAGTAGCCAACTGACATGGACAGGCTCTGCAGGGATTCAAAACTCTCCTACCCTGTTCGATGAGGCCCTCCATGAAGACCTGGGTGAGTACCAACGTAAACACCCTGGAAATAACTTTGCTGCGATTGTGTTGTTGACCTCCCTGATTGCTGCTGAGACCCAAGAAGCTTGTATTCCAAGGACCAAAGTCTCTTACAAGCTCATAAATCTGAAACTAGAGCCTCGGCAAAGAAAGCTCAAATCTGTAAGCCAGAAGTAACATATATGGGGTACCTGCGAAAGGAGCAGCTGGTTAACAGGCAGCTCGGAAGCAGACTGTTCTGCAGATCCCCAGGCCACAATCCACACCCAGACAAGTGAAATTCCTGGGGTCAGGATTTTGTAGACTATGGATACCTGGGTTCACAGAACTGGCTAAACCCTTGTATCAGGCAACACAGGGGCAGCAGCCATTTAATTGGACAGACGAAGCCGGAGTCGGCTCAGCATGTCAAAATCGCCCTGCTCTGCGCCTGCTGGGACACCTGATGTCACCAAGCCCTTCCCACTTATATGTGGATGAGGAGTAAGGAGTGTCGCCAGGCGGTAATAATTCAGAACTTAGGCCCCTGGTGGAGGCCGGTTGCTACCTGTCAAAGAAGTTAGACCCAGTGGCATGAATTTGGCCCCCCTTGTCTCCAAATGATTGCGTACGGCTCTGATGGTACAAGATGCTGATAAACTTGTCATAGGTCTAAGGTGCGGGTGCGTTGCCCACATGCCATCAGAGGTGTACTCAAACATACCTAATCTATTGGATAAATAACGCCAGCTCACCCTGCCAAGGACTACTCATCCTATCAGAATACTGCTACTAACGACCTTAACCCTGCCTCACTGCTGCCCAACCTGGACCTGGATGCTGGGCATACTTGATTGCCTGCCGAGATGTTTAGCTCCAGGTGCATGGAGTTCGAGAGGACCTGCAGGACCGCCCACTCCCTGACGCTGACCTCATCTGGTTCACTGATGGGAGCAGCTAAGCGCATCAAGGCCAGAGGTGCACTGGAGTGGCAGTGACTTCAGAGACTGAGGTAATCTGGGGAACCTCTGCCCCGGGGACATCGGCCCAGAAGGCCTTGAACTGATAGCTCACCCAAGCTCTTACCTTAGGGGCAGGGAAAAAGCTGACAGTATATACAGACAGCAGATAATAGCACGCTACAGCGCACATACATGGGGCCATTTACAGGGAGGCGAGTGTTACTGCGGCTGAAGGAAAGAGATAAAAAACAACAAGAGATCTAGCCCTGTTAACAGCGCTATGGAAGCCAGAAAAGTTAGCCATTGTCCCATTGCCCAGGGCATCAGAAACCAACCTCAACTGCTCAAGGCAACTTTCTGGCAGATTCAAACTGCAAGAAATGTGGCAAAGGCTCCCAGCCCAGCTGCTTGCCTCAGCTCCCTGACCCGGGCCTGGGACTTGCCATATTTACAAATTGACTAAGAACAAGATCTCCAGTGGATTGACAAAACTTCCCCTGAAACAGAATCAGAAGGGTGGTGGACTGATACTAATGACCAAACCATTCTACCAGAAAAATTAGGACAACAAGTATTAGAACACATCACCGAACCACCACCTGGGTGCTCGGCGGATAGACCTGATCAGACACTCTAGCTCAGAATTCAGACATATGGCAGAGGCCCACTGCTGCATGCTGCAGTTACAAAATCTCCCCTCAGCTCTGAACAAAACTCAAAGGCTCAAACCCAGTATCTAGAAGTAAATTACTAAATAAGGGTTGGGTTAGTTTTTTCAGTTGTGCCCAAGTTGGTTTGAGCATTCTACGGCAAAGAGAAACTGCTCGGAGTCGTAGCAAAGAAAATTCTGGAAGATATCCTTCCCAGGTATGGTTTCCACATCCAGATAGGGTCAGATAATGGGCCTGCCTTAGATAAGCTAAGGTAAGTCAAGTTTGACACGTCCTTGGGGCAAATTGGAAACTACATTGTGCTTACAGGCCCCAGAGTTCAGGACAGGTAGAGAGGATGAATCGGACCTTAAAGGAGACCTTAACTAAATTGACTATGGAGACTGGCACTAATTGGGTGGTCCTTCTCCCCTACGCTCTGTTCCGGGCCTGTAATACCCCTTACAGACTGGGCCTTACCCTGACGAAATCATATGGCAGACCCTCACCCCTGGTTCCCAGCTTAAAGATGATCTGCTTAAGTCACAGAGCAGAAAATGTCTCAATTCTGTTACCTACAAGCCTTGCAGAAGATTCATCAAGAAAATGTTGGCCAAGCTGAAGGAACTATATGAGACCAATCCCCACCAACACCCCATCCATACCAGCCAGGAGACTGGGTCTGGTTAGCGACACCCGACAAGAGACCTAGAACCCAGGTGGAGGACCCTCAGTCTCCTGATGGCCACACCCACCGCCCTAAAGGTAAGGCATCGCGTGCGTGGATCCACTACACCCCGTCAAACCAGTGGACCCAACCTCGACCTTCTGGAACCAATCACGGCAGCGGCTGAAGCATCGGCCACGTGGACTGTGGACAGAGCTAAGAACAACCCCTTAAAACTCACCCTGTGCCGGCAACATAGCTCACTGCAAACGCATGAAGTTAGGTAGTCCTGGCCTAACGTTAGCCGCCCTAGTGGCGCTAGGAAAACACCAAACCAGCATCTAATCCTTTGTCTGGAGATTCTGGCTTTATGAAAATCGAACCACCCTGGACAACCTCATGAGCCCGGAAATTGTTGCCAGTGCTGATTGCCCCTCCTCAGGTGCAATAGCCAATCTTCAATTTACTGGCTTTCCAAATGGCAAACCAGTGACACCAATAATATATTTTGAGTTTGATCAGACTGAATACAATTGTAAACACTATTGGTGGCACCAAAATGCCAGCTGTCCTTATAACTATTGTAATATCCATAGGTCCCGTTATTGGGGAAGGAAAGAACAGTTAGACCTAAGTGGCCCTTCCATCATAGACGGGATGGAGACTTTTCATATACATGGATAGTTAGAGACCCTGGAACTCCCCGCTGGACCACGCCTCAACATGGGGCTGTACTACTCCCCCTCCTCACATGGCCTATGATCACCTCTATCTATGGCGAGGCCTAGTGCAAATACTGCCCTGGTCAGGAATATCCAACGACAGGAAAACAGACTAACTTTCAAGACTCCAGTCTTTTCTCCTGGTTAAAATTATTACAAGAGGACTAGGCTTGCTAACCTTACAGGACTTCACAGCCTGTCTGGCTGCTTTCTGTGTGCCACTCTAGGGCGTCCACCGCTAACCGCTGTCCCTCTGCCATGGGGATCTATACCTCTGCCCAAGCTAACAACTTCCAAAACCTCTCTGCCCCCTATCTAAACGTGCCTATACCTAAACCCAGTCAGGAGAAGTTTCCCTACTGTTTCTCAGGAACCAATTCCAACCTCTGCAGCATCACTGCGATGCCCTAATATCACCTAAAGGCCCGCTGGGTATTCTTCTGGTGTAATGGGACATTATCTAAGGACCTATCTAGTCCCTCTGTTACCAACCTACTGTGTCTTCCTGTCACATTAGTTCCCCAGTTGACTCTACTAACTGCTGGCGAGTTCCTAGGGTACACCGGTAACTGGACTAGTACTGCTATTCACCCAGTCCCTAGACTGAGACCTGCACGAGCCATATTTCTCCCCCTCATTGCAGGAATCTCCCTCACCACATCCCTCATTGCAGCCGGGATGGTGGGGGGGCCTAGGTCACACCCTCATGAAAGCAACAGTTGCCAACAATTTGCCGTTGCTATGGAGGAGTCAGCTGAGTCCCTTGCCTCCCTTCAGTGGCAGCTCATGTCCCTAGCCCAGGTAACCTTGCAGAACTGGAGGGCCCTAGACCTACTCACTGCAGAAAAAGGTAGTACTTGTATGTTTCTAAAAGAAGACTGTTGTTTCTACATAAATGAATCAGGGCTTGTAGAAGACCGGGTCCAACAGATTCATGAAGTTAAGCACTGAAGTAAAAACACGGCAGTTTGCTTCAGCTGCAGACCAATGGTGGAATTCCTCTATGTTTTCTCTGTTATCCCCCTTCTTGGACCCTGCTAAGTCTATATTTCTGCTAACATTGAGACCTTGTATTTGTTAACAGAATTTTGCAGTTTGTCAGAGAAAGGGTTTGACACTGTTCAGCTCATGGTCCTCAGAGCCCAATACCAACCTGTAAACAGTGAAACAGAGTCAGACTTGTAGACCAAGATTGGCTCTAGGTTACCTGAAAAGAAGGGAATGAAAGGAATGAGGCACATCCCCATATATCTCCCAACTTTATGAGCCCAGCACAAACACATTCCTCCATATTTCTTTTTCAAACTTCAGAAAAACATCACCTGGGAAGATCTCCACGATAAAGATACCAAATGTATGTTAACCAATTGTAATGCTGTAACTTGAGAGAAGTGCCTTATTCCTGTAACTTTACATATCCACTGTTTACATCCCGGGCTATAAAAAGCAAGCACTCACATTGTTCGAGGCCCTCTTGTATGCTGTGGAATGGAGGACCAAAAGTTCGAACTTGTAGTAAAGATCCTTGCCGCTTGGCTTTGACTCTGGACTCTGGTGGTCTTCTTTGGGGAACAAACGGTCTGGGTATAACACTTGGGACAATTTTCAGGCATGTTTTCTTTCCCCTTCTCCTACGAGTGATTTGTTTTTATTGTGGGTTGAAGAGGACATTTGAAAAGGACTTTTACAGAAATAAAGCCTCAGATGCTGTTATATGTCTCTAGGGAGTGTCTACATTTGCTTCTGTCTGTAACTGTGGTCACTAGTTCCCCAGGCCATTCTCAATTAATTTTGGTGTTGGAGGTGCTGTGAGGCTGAGCAGCAGTCCCCACTGAGGGCCTGTCTGCATCAAGTGAGTCCTTACTCTTAGCAAGTGGCTGGTCAGTACCTTGGCAATCCCTGGCTGCAAACTAATGTCCCTATGATGCCTCGAAGTCAGTGGTCAAAATCCTCTCGAATTGGACAATTCAGAGGAAAAAGGAGGTATATGTTCCAGTATTCTATAGCACTGGAGGATGACTCTAGTTGAAAACAATTTATCACATTTTTTCAGAGAGTTAGAAAAGAAGAATTGAATGATTCCCAACCCACCAAAAAGTGATACGTTTGACATGATGGGGAAACTACCTTTGTAAAAAATTATAATAGTCAGAAAATTATGACAGCGAAAGAGATGTGATTTGACCACTCCATCTTGCCTTTAACCTCCAAACTACCCTTGGTCATTCCTGGGCTTGGGCCATTCTAACTAGGAGAAATTTAGTTTATAGTTTAAATGACAGTAGCCCCTCCCCCAGGCTAAACTGCCTTTGTAAAACTAATGAAAGGCCACCAAGTTAAATGTTAGTAGGCCCTCCCCCAGACTAAACTTCCTTTGTAAAACTAATGAAAGGCCACCAGGTTAGCAGGATGAGTTCCACTAAGATGTAGGTGTAGTTAAATTATTACCAGCCATTATTCCAGAGTTCACAAGGTTTGCAACTTCTCCAATTTACTAGTATAGAACATAAGACTGGCCTTTTAATATGTCTTTACTGGCTTTTGCAGGCTTGTGCCTGCAACTCTGCACTCAACCACTCCTGGGACCCTCACCTAGAAGTGACCTCAGGCATGAAGGCCATTTTCTGCACCCCTAAGATTGCATCCCCTACCAGTTAGAAACACCCATATCCTAGCCCCCTACCTACCAACTCTCTTTGAAAAACTCAAGTCTCTGAACTTCCAGGAAGGCTGATTTGTGTCATAATAAAACTCTAGTCTCCTATTTAGCTGGCTCTACATGTATTAAACATTAAACACTGTCTCTGTTGCAATTCCCCTGTCTTGATAAATTGGCTCTATCTGGGCAGCTGGCAAAATGAACCTGTTGCATTGTTAAATGGATATGCTAATTACCCTGATCTGCCCACTATACGTTGTATGTATCAAAACATGACTATGTACTCCACAAATAAATACAACTATTATGTGTCCATTAAAAAATATATGTTTTAAATGGGCCACACACATAGCATAGAATGCTATACTGCAATCTTCTACCAGATCCATCATATATTACTAATTCTCGCTGTCTTTAAGTATTTGTTTTTATTATTTATCAGTCTTTTTGAGTGTGTGTGTGTGTGTGTGTGTTTGTTTGTGTTGGGAGGGGTAGCAGATGTAAAAGTCCTTGCATTATCATCTCTATTTTTTATTAATATTTTGCCATGTTGATCTTTTCTTTTCTTTTTTTTTTAACATTTTAGCCTTGTTGAACCCTCCCTTGTACCTTTGTTTTCCATTTTAATTCCCTGTTGTACCTATTTTTTCCCTTTACTGCACATTCCTTAACATTCAAACTAATTTTAATTCTTGCATTTCCCACAATAAATACATTGAAAGCTACACATTTCTCTGTGTCATAAAAATTTTTATATTTGATATTTTTTATATTACCATATTGTATACATTTATATATATTTCTATTATTTCCTCTTTAAACTATGAGTTACTTAGAAGATTTCTTTTAATTTCCAAATATATGGGGGTTTTAATGATTTTCCTTTGTTACCAATTGTTAACTCAACTGTGCTGTCATCAGATAATATAATCTACGTAATACCAGTACTGGTTTTATGGACTGGATTTGAAAGGAAGACATTTTCTCAACCTGCTTAGTTCAGTGTTCTACATGCAGCCACAGTGTGAATTACTGTAAGGTGAATTCACTCATGGGTGATTTGTTAATAAGGAAGTTAGTTTAGAATGGAGTAAACACTGTCTTGGCTCATCCACAAATATTCTAGACAAGAGGGTAGAGAATTATGGTAGGATCTTCTATTATTGGGAAATAGAAGTCTTCAATGTTGCTGCCATGCTGGCAGGAAAAGCACTACTGCATCTATCTTAAGAAAACTAGAAACAAGTACTAGGGTCCTTCCCAGGGCCACATCCCTCATCCTCCTGTGCTGCACTCTTGCTCCATTGCCCTGCCTCCACAGACACCCTAAAGGAGCACGCTTGCTCATGCTCCTCCCATCTGCCAGTCTGTACCCACCTGCTCCACTCCAACCAAACTTCAATATATATATTGCCACTCTATTGTTCTGGAGCATTTTTAGCAATCACTGTGGCAGCATGTGCTCACAATGTATCTGGATGGGCCGACAGATTATCCCCTCCAGTCTTGTGTACTCTTTTCTGTTTTGTACTCTTATTATAAAGCTGCGTAGTTTTGTATTGTCCTCCATAACTCTTTTTTCTCATAATCCCTACTATCTTTTGAATATATTTTTCAGAACAATGTATTTTTCAGGAAGTAGACAATGTTTCAGTGCAGAAATATCTATATAACCTGCAGTTTCATCTTACAGTTTGTGTGGTTCAAATCTTTCACACACTTCCTATCGACATTAAAGACAGGGGCATTAAAATTACCCCAAAGGTGGCTTATATCTTCATGTTCCATGTGACCTTGAGGATTGTGATATCATGATCAATAAAATTTTATCTATGGGACTTTTGAGGCTTTGATTTAGCCCTTCATTTTTTCAGATACTTGAGAAGGGTCACCAATGGGACCTTCCTAAAGTTCATTCCAGATATGTCAATTTCTTCTTGTAGTTCTTTCACTTTTGACTTAATATATTTTAAAGTTATGTTACTATGTTTAGATAAGTTTAGGATTGTTCTCCCCTCCTGGTGAATTAAACCTTAATGTTTGATCTTAAGAAAGGCTTTTGGCCTTAAGGTTTGTTTTGTCTTAGACTAATAAAAGTTCACTACTTTTCTATAACTTGCCTTTTAAAATCTTTATTTCATCTGGAATCTTTGATACTTTGTTATTGGTTGATATGGTTTGGATTTGCGTCCCCACCCAAATCTCATGTCAAATTGCAAACCCCAATGTTATAAGATGAGCTTGGTGGGAGGTAATTGGATCATGGTGACGGATTTTCCCCTTGCTGTTCTCAAGACAGTTGAGTGAGTTTTTATGAGATTTTGTTGTTTAAAAGTGTGTAGCATGTCCCCTTTCTCTCTCTTCCTCCTGCTCCAGCTACATAGGACATGTCTGCTTCCCTTTTGACTTCCCATATGATTGTAAGTTTCCTGAGGCCTCCCCAACCATGCTTCCTGTACAGCCTGTGGAACCATGAGCAATTAAACCTCTTTTCATTATAAATTACCCAGTTTCAGGTAGTTCTCCATAGCAATGTGAGAACAGATGAATACACTGGTGTATTGTTTCTCCTAAAGCTTGCTCGCAATGGCTTGTATCTTCTTATTTCATGTGACTTTGAGAATTGTGATATCACAATCAATAAAATTTGATCTGTGGGATTTTTGAGGTTTTGATTTAGGCCTTCTTTCTGTCAGATAACTGGGAAGGGTCACCAGTGGGAGCTTCTTAAAGTTAATGCCAGGCTTAGGTCTTTTGGCATTGGAAGTAGAGTGCATTCTAGTCTAAAAGATGCCTTGTAAGCAGCCTGTCATTGGAAATGCTTTATTAAAGCTGTTTTCCTCCTTCCATATAAGCCAAAACCTCAAAGTTTTCCTACTGTCTCATTCTTCGGTTACTTTCTTCTCTTCACAGTTCGTTCTCTCCTCTAGAAAATCACCTTTTGGAAATTGTTTTTATGGGAGATTCTTATACTGATTTCTCACCTTCTCAGGACCTAGACTTTCTCTTGTTTTCCTTGTGAAGCCCATTTAAATGCAGAGACTTGGGCTATGGAAGATCCAGGAGGCTGAAAACCCTTGACTCTGTGGCTTCAGTGTCTATCCAATTCATTGTTTCTGCCTCTCTGGACGCCTCTTACTTTCTTATCAACTCAAGTCTACATAAAGAGGATATTTGTATCCAGTCTTTTATTCTTTTAATGTGCGATGCATTGCAAAGGCTATTTGGGCAGTTAGTCTTCTACATTGCTGGAATTTGATGTCTGATTATAGCTGCCTTTTTATTAGTATCTGTGGTCCTGTATTTTAAAAATTTCAATAATCATAACACTATGATGAGAAAGTATTACTTTAAACATAATATTATTTTTTAAAACACAAACGTTCACTACACTGAAAAAAATAGGAAAAATGTAATACTGATTATTAAGCACTTTATAAGTTGTATACCTTTAAGAAAAATGGTTATTTTTATTTCTCTAAGAACATATAATGCAGGCATTTATGAATATTAAATAAACTTAAATATATAACAACCACCCAGTGAGTATAAATACTGAACTCTGATATAGCGGATATGTGAATGAATTCTTTACTTTGTGAGCATTTAAATTTTTTTCTTAAATTTTTATAATGATTGAGGAATTGTTGGAAGCAAAGCGTAACCCACAGTGCTAAACACACATTCAGGCCTCAATTTTGTAATTTTCTACAACCTTCCTTATGCTCAGTGCATTCCTCAGATAGAGTTAAGTATATTGCCAGTGTTAGGCAACAGAAAACATTACTCCCTTTTTCAAAAATAACATTTACATTGAGAGTGCAAATGTTAACTATTATGAAAAAAATCATATGCCCTAATGTCATGTCAAGGAATTAGCTCATGCTGAAATAGTGACTTAGTATTTTTGAAGTCATGAAATTCCATTTCAGGGTCTGAGGTGAGTTGGTATTTTTGTTATGTTTGATTTTATTCACAGAGCAGAACTTAATAATGTTAAGAAAAAAGAATCAAAGTCTTTGAACTGAGCTGATATGCCTTCTTCTTTTGCATGGCTTAGAATGAATGCAATCTGCAGTCTTTCCCTCTCATCCTCACATCCACAGACTCTAGCTTTGCTGAGTGGTGTGGTAACAGCACAGAGCTGGAGATCAGAACAACAGATTTTGAATAACTTCTCCATCATCCTCTGGCCTACTAGAAAATCTGGTAACCTTTCTTAGCCTTGTAATTTGAAGAGTTGTTATGAAGAGTATATTCTACTAAATGAAAAAAACAGTGGTTTGTAGACTGTAATGGAACTTCTAATATAATAGGTTTTTAATATCATACATTGATTCTAGATCTTGTAATTAGATTTTAAATAGATTTGGCCTTGTGTGCACCCACTCGACTTTTTTCTATTAAATCTGTTATTGGTCTATTTTCAGTATATAGACTTGAGACAAGAACATTACATGCCAGCACATATTATGAAGGTGCTAAGTAAGAGTATAAGTAGGTGACTGGGTTTTATTGCAAAGGTCAGGAAATATAGCTTTTAAGATTGATTCTGACATGTGATATATATATATATATAATGTTTTATCCCTTTGGGCTGCCTTCCCAGTGATTGAAAAAAATGACTCCTCCTTCATTAATAGTTCTTTCATCATAGGCCAAGGTGGTTTTATGAGACTTTTCCTACATGTGCTTTTACATCAACAATATGAAACAAGTTATGGTGTGTACCAATATATTAACCATTCATAAATGAGTAATATTTAAATATGTAGTTATATCATGATGAGGTTTTTTTTTTTTTTTTTTTTTTTGTTTTTTTTTTTTTTTGAAACGGAGTCTGGCTCTGTCGCCCAGGCTGGAGTGCAGTGGCCGGATCTCAGCTCACTGCAAGCTCCGCCTCCCAGGTTTTTTACGCCATTCTCCTGCCTCAGCCTCCTGAGTAGCTGGGACTACAGGCGCCCGCCACCGCGCCCGGCTAGTTTTTTGTATTGTTTTTTTTTTTTAGTAGAGACGGGGTTTCACCGTGTTAGCCAGGATGGTCTCGATCTCCTGACCTCGTGATCCACCCGTCTCGGCCTCCCAAAGTGCTGGGATTACAGGCTTGAGCCACCGCGCCCAGCCTATGATGAGGTTTTACTTTTGCTAAATTAATATGTCTACATTAAGTTAAATCATCGGCTTAAAAATCAACTCCTTTTGGTGTCAGCCCATTTGTTTCATTACTGTTCAATACTAATAAACTTATACATATATATATTTTCTAAATTTATCCTTGAATTTCTTTTCCCCCAAACTCAATAAATAAGTTTTCTACTTCTGGTAAATATTAACAGGATACTATCTGGTATGTTGACTACTCTCTGATGTAACTCCTAGTGATGGTTCTCCAAATGCTATTCTGGCATGCATTCTGGAATAAATGCATCTAGTAATCTCTAAAATAATTCACTAACTTATGCTTTTTGGGCAATTGTTGACATAAAATTTTAGCAACTTTCCTTTCTTATGAAAAGAATTCTCAGGCATTAAGAATTTTAATTTCTAATTCAACATTCAAATAGCACGATCCTTGATTATTTTTTCAAAAAAGTTGCAATTACCATATTCTAGACCCAGAAAAATGTTCCTTTAATCATACTGCCTAGTATACACCACTTCAGATAAAATCTAAAGCAAATTTGTCTAAGTAATTTATAACAAAACGGTGTGATAGATTTGAAGCAACCAGCTTTCATCCCCTAAGTCTGTTGCTACTCTTAACAGTATAAATTTATTGAGTTTACTTATTTCCTTCACACCATACTCTTATAAAAACTCAATATGTGATTACTGAAAAAATAAGTGGCACACTTCTTTCCTTCAGCAATGTCCTATCTTACTGAAAAGATAGTTCCGCATTTCAAAAGAAGTTGAGTAAAAGACAACATGTGAAACAAAGCTAAAAACACACGGAACCAGAAGTAATTAATGCGAGGAAAGGTAAAACTAAACCATGAAAAAGAGATCAGCAATATGTAAAAAGAGATCAGCAAAATTTAAAAATGTTCTTATCCTTTTGTGGCTTTTAAAGATGCTTACATGGAGAGACACAGAAGGAGCAAATCAACCCAGCCAGCCAAATCAGCTGACCTATTGAAAACAGTCCTTGGAATGACAGGTGCCCCAGCCATCTGCCCATGCCAAAGAATCAGACATTTTTTTCAGGAGGGAAGACATGCCTGAGTCATGCTCCTGAGTGAGATGGAAACTCTCTGGCTTTCTATAAAGAAAATCCTTGATTTTACAAATAATCTTGATGAATTTGTCAATATATTTTACTACAAATAAGCCTATTCTAGTGAAAGTGATCACTAATTCGGTTTTGCAATTAAACTGAATATTACTCTTAAGACGTTTTTTGCACTGATCCTTGTTATCCATGTGACAGATGCCATATGAAGAGTTAGCTGGGATTAAATTTAATTAAATTCATAATCTCCTTCTGAAAACTTTCTAGGAAGTTTGAAAGTGATTGGATTTTAGTCTCAGAAGATATGTCTTTGCCTATAATCTTTTGGAAAGGAGAGGGCTTGGATTCCATCAGTTACCTAGAGTTCAACAGTTTGTCTGGATTGATAATACTTCTAAAATTATTTTTAAAATTAAGCTATAATTTATCACCTTTGTTATAAACCTAATTGATCCTTATCATTGTCACTTGAAGTAACAATTATAATAAAATGTCAGGATATCTCAAACCAATCTCAATCTTTCATCTATGCCTAACTATAAATAATATATTCAAACAGGAATATAGCCATAACAATCTTACTTAAATAGTGTGATATGATGATGAAAAGGCATTTTTAAATATTTTTGGCTCTTCTTGTTGATTGTTTCATGATATAACTTGTGTCTAATTATTTTGTCCTAAAGTGCCAACATAACTAAAAATGAAAAATAATGAAACTCATTTACAATGTGATATGTCATGTATTGACGTGGTTCATTTTGCAAGGTTTTTGTTTATTTGTAGTATCAAATCAAAGCACATAGAATATATATACACACATTTCTCTATGCCCGTTGTTCGCACTTCAAACTGAGGTATCCAATATTAAAATGTCTCGTTCTTCTTCATACAACTTTTTGCAGATTTATACAAGATTTTAACATTTATTTAAACAAAATAAAAACATCAAAATCTCCTGAAGAATGTAATCTTTTAAAAATCTCAGCTGATTGTTCTGTTTTTGTCTTGTGACATCCACTTGATTGTAATTAAGGGAGTGGTTCCTGCCCTAGAAAACAGGGTCCCAGGAGAACTATCCTCCTGGACTGGTGCACATGCGGCCATCTGGTGGTCGCCCAAGGTGAGAACCCACCCTACAGTCTACAGCATTTTGATTACAGCATTTTGATTATCAAAATTGGAAGATGAAAACAGATTTCTTTGCCTTTGCCTTCAATGCCACTGGACGTGCCACTAAAGAAAGTCGAAAGAGGTCTCTTTGAGACATCCATGTGGCTGAGTAGGGAGACAGTTTCCCGTTGATTCTAGCATATTACTTTTCTATAGTATCATCAGCTTTGTCAGGGTACTGGAGTTAAGCCCAACTCACTTGCAATTTGTTGACTTGGCTATTCTCTATTTGCCAGGTCCCTTTTATTTTTATTTTAAGTGTCCATGCCTAGGGTGGACAATTGAAAAGGCTTTGCCAGATTCCGAATCAAACTGTTATCAGAGATATAGGCTTAGTATTGAATCAAGTCAAGCCAATTACATTACACAAAGAACACTGAGAAAATTATCAGGAGCAGAAAATAAAACACAGTAGATGAGTGCACAAAATATATTTTCTTGACCCGCATTTTCCAAGTACATAGAAAATACCAACACTCGTGTCCCTGTAGGTGAAAACCGTTGTATCATCCAGTCCAAAGTGGTTTTCTAACTATTTTACTGCTCCACGTAAACATAAAGAGAATATAAAATTTTGATTTTTTCTAATACAGTGATTGAAAGTAAAATACATATTTAATTTTTCCAAAAGTTTGATGACAAAATAGTTCATTTTCACATCAACTCATGTAAATTTATTAATATACCAGAAAACATCCCCCCTCCACTGCAATTGGTATGTCATATGCCATAGCCTACATACTTTTTAAGTCAATTTTATCAATACTACTTTCATTCCTTTTGGGTTTGCTTTTATCACTCAATATTCACAAGAATATAATTAGGTATGATGGAGCCATATGAAAGAAATTCCTATACAGAATACTTCACTGAGAAATTACTGTTCAGATGTTAAGATTTTGCCACCTCCAAACATACATGATGTTTTAATTCCTTCTAGAAATATCTATTGGCACACTGCCTATGCACAAGCAAGTCTGTCTGAGAATGTTGGATAAGTGACGATGTGTATGTGTCTACTCTTACATAGGGAAGATGATATATGTGTACACTACAAAGACTCAAGGGAATGAATGGCAAGCAATAAAATATGAGTTGTTGAGAGGCAGGAGAAATGTTATTTCCAAATCGAGGTTATTGGGAGAGGCATCATTAAAATGCTGTTTGCCATTGCATAGGCAGGTCTTAATTGCTCTGGGGTTGCTTCCACACGTTCTCTCACAGAATAGTTCTGAGAACATTCCAGCCAAAACTTCTATTCAAATTGGTCAGCCTGATCTTACAACACAGCTGCTGGAAGACACTGAATGGCACTTTTGAATTTCAGCCAATTTTGCTGCCTCATGGACAAAAAACTGTGTCTGATCTGTTCCATTCAACAGCAGTTTCAGAATTTGAATTTTTCTGCCCCAGAGTGTATATAGACACAGCTTTGGTGAATAGACTACATGCTGGAGATGAGAATTAACTGTCTCATAACACTGTGGCCCATCGTAATAGGAAAACAGAATACTTATCATTTTCTTACGAGAAAGTATTATCAGATTTCTCCTTTTTATTTTCTTGCTCATCTCTCTCTCTTACTAAACCATGAATTCTTGGAGGGCATAGATCTGTATCTTTCTATATACATCACACATTACTTATGTGCTAGAGAATGTTTCCTAATGAATGTTCAATAGGTATGGAGTGATTATGTTCATGTAATCCTGAATCTCAACCCTAAACCCAAATTGTTCTATAGAGAGCAATTTCTCCTAGAGGCAATTTTCATTACTCACATTTGATAGAATCTCTATCATTCATCAGGGGATATAATCTACATGGCTTTACTTATGGTTAAAATGGACCCCTATCTGGAACTGGATGAACAGAGGAAAGAAATGTGTTGCCTAGGCAACAGAGCTGCTTTATTTGAATGACTTTCCTTCTTATCACAGTGGAAGTTAAAACAGATACTGTACAAGAAATTGCTGAGTTTACATTAAGTCTGCTGATGAAGAAAATAATAGAAAAAAAAAAAACACTTTTGAGAGAAAGATGTAAAATGTGGGGGCTATTCTCAATGTTGCCAAAATGTGTGATAGGATATTTATTTAATTCACTAAAAGTATTATGGAAATTTCTGAATAAATTCAAGAGTTACTGCAGAGCACATATAACAGCCTGTCTTTTTGTTTTATTTATTTTATATTAATCCTTTAGAAAATATTAACACCTTGAGAGAAATATTCTGTGGATCTCTCTCACAGCTGTCTGCTCATATACTAGATATTCAGAAAACACAGAATGAAAGGAAAATAAATTTTGAAACTGAGTGTCAAATATTGTCAAATGTAAACATTTGATCTCACTGAAGCAAAATTATTTTGTATTTGTAATTGCAATATTTCTTATGAAAATAAAATCTTTTTTAAAAAGGTTTGATATCCATCTTTTTAAAAAAAATAAGAGGAGGAATTTTATGGCTCAGGTCATTGATAACTGTTTCATTTCTCAGATTGTTTTAATTGAGAAGTATCAATACATAGCAGTTCTGAATCAAATCTATGTTGGCTTAGAATTCTCGTACAGATCTTAATAGTCTTGTTATCTCATTGGTGAAATTGAGTATAAAATTATTGACTAAACAGTGTTGCTCTCAGGATTAAGAAAGATAACCCATTAAAGAACCAGCATAATGCATGGCACTAAGTACATAAACAATGCTAGTCAATTATTATTAACCAAATATAATTATATGGAGAAAATGAAATATATTTCTCTGATAACAAAGATTTCACCAAATCACTTCAAAAGCTAGAAAATAGCTATTGTTTCTAAGGGTGCATATAAGATATTAAAAATAATTTTCATTAAGTTAAACAGACCTTTTAATATACTTTTGATAGCACTAAACAATAAACTTCCATGTTTCTTTATACTAAGTTATGTACTTTACCTCAATATTACCATTTTGTAATTTAAAAAAAAAATCCATTGTGCATAGCCTCTAAAGTCAACATATTTTGTGATGACTATATTACATTACATATTTTTTATCTGAATTTGTAATACCCATATTCCAACTTAGCATTGTTTAACAACATTGATTCTAAAATATTAGACTTGGAGAAGCAATCATATGTTATCAATGCATAAATTACAGTCAATGTAGGGGTATTTTGCACTGCAAATAATATCTAGAAAGATACATGACTTAGCTAAGAGCAAATGTAATTAGTGACTATCTATAATTAGGTCTAGCTTCTAACGTCGTACATTTTTTAACCTGTCATTTCTAAGAACTAAAGTATCATAACACGAATTCTGTTTTTTAGTTTTGTTTTGTTTAAATTCACTGGTCTACTGTAATACTCCTTTGAGGTATTTGAACAAATCCTTGAGTGGTACAAAGTCAATAGTGAAAATCACTTTATTTTTTAATCATTGTCTAACTCTATGTACCAATGAGAGAGGGTTGTCATTAAAATATTTATATCTTGTCTGTAAAGGATTTTATTTCTCCTTCACTTATGAAGCTTAGTTTGGCTAGATATGAAATTCTGGGCTGAAAATTGTTTTCTTTAAGAATGTTGAATATTGGCCCCCACTCTCTTCTGGCTTGTAGAGTTTCTGCCAAGAGATCTGCTGTTAGTCTGATAGACTTCCTTTTGTGGGTAACCCGACCTTTCTTGCTGGCTGCCCTTAACATTTTTTTCCTTCATTTCAACTTTGGTGAATCTGACATGTGTCTTGGAGTTGCTCTTCTCGAGGTGTACCTTTGTGGCATTCTCTGTGTTTCCTGAATTTGAATGTTGGCCTGCCTTGCTAGGTTGGAGAAGTTCTCCTGGATAATATCCTGAAGAGTGTTTTCCAACTTGGTTCCATTCTCCCCGTCACTTTCAGGTACACCAATCAGACTTAGATTTGGTCTTTTCACATAGTCCCATATTTCTTAGAGGCTTTGTTCATTTCTTTTTACTCTTTTTTCTCTAAACTTCTCTTCTTGCTTCATTTCATTCATCTGATCTTCAATCATTGATACCCTTTCTTCCGCTATATCAAATTGGCTATTGAAGTTTGCGCATGTGTCACATAGTTCTTGTGCCGTGGTTTTCAGCTCCATCAGGTCATTTAAGGTCTTCTCTACACTGTTCATTCTAGTTAGCCATTTGTCTAATCTTTTTTCAAGGTTGTTAGCTTCTTTGTGATGGGTATGAACATCCTTCTTTAGCTTGGAGAAGTTTGTTATTACCGATCACCTAAAGCCTTCTCTCAACTCATCAAAGTTATTCTCCATCCAGCTTTGTTCCGTTGCTGGCAAGGAGCTGCATTCCTTTGGAGGAGAAGAGGCACTCTGATTTTTAGAATTTTCAGCTCTTCTGCTCTGGTTTCTCCTCATCTTTGTGGTTTTATCTACCTTTGGTCTCTGATGATGGTGACGTACAGATGGGGTTTTGGTGTGGATGTCCTTTCTGTTTGCTAGTTTTCCTTCTAACAGTCAGGACCTTCAGCTGCAGGTCTGTTGGAGTTTGCTAGAGGTCTACTCTAGACCCTGCTTGCCTGGAACATCACCAGCAGAGGCTGCAGAGCAGCAAATATTCCTCTGGAAGCTTCATCTCAGAGGGGCACCCACCTGTATAAGGTGTCAATCAGCCCCTACTAAGAGGTGTCCCCCAGTTAGGTTAGTCGGGGGTCGGGACCCACTTGAGGAGGCAGTCTGTGTGTTTTCAGATCTCAAACTCCATACCGGGAGAAGCACTACTCTCTTCAAAGCTGTCAGACAGGGACATTTATATCTACAGAAGTTTCTGCTGCCTTTTGTTCAGCTATGCCCTGCACCCAGAGGTGGAGTCTACAGAAGCAGGCAGGCCTCCTTGAGTTGTGGTGGGCTCCACCCAGTTCGAGCTTTCTGGCCCTTTTGTTTACCTACTCAGGCCTCAGCAATGGTGGACACTCCTCCCACAGCCTTGCTGCCACCTTGCAGTTTGATCTCAGACTGCTGTGCTAGCAGTGAGTGAGGTTCCATGGGCATGGGACTCTCCAAGCCAGGTGTGGGATATAATCTCCTGATGTGCTGTTTGCTAAAACCGTTGGAAAACCTCAGTATTAGGGTGGGAGTGTCCTGATTTTCCAGGTACCATCTATCATGGCTTCCCTTGGCTAGGAAAGGGAATTCCCTGAACCCCTGTGCTTCCTGGGTGAGGTGAGGTCCCACCCTGCTCTGTGGGCTGCACCCACTGTCTGACAAGTCCCTGTGAGATGAACCTGGTACCTCAGTTGGAAATGCAGAAATCACCCATCTTTTGCTTTGCTCACGCTGGGAGATGTAGACTGGAGTTGTTCCCATTTGCCATCTTGGAAATGCTGAAAGATTTTGTCACCACTCGGCTTGCCTTATAAGAGTTCCTGAAGGAAGCACTAAACAGAAAGGAACAACAGGTACCAGCCACTACAAAAACATGCCAAATTGTAAAGACTATCAATGCAAGGAATAAACTGCATCGACTAACAAGCAAAATAACCAGCTAACATCATAATGATAGAATCAAATTCACAAATAACAATATTAATCACAAATGTAAATGGGCTAAATGCTCCAATTAAAAGACACAGATTGGCAAACTGGATAAAGAGTCAGGACTCATCAGTGTGCTGTATTCAGAAGATCCATCTCACGTGCAGGGACACACATAGGTTCAAAATAAAGGAATGGAAGAAGATCTACCAAGCAAATAGAAAACAAAAACAAGTGAGGGCTGCAATCCTAGTCTCTGATAAAACAGACTTCAAACCAGTAAAGATCAAAAGAGACAAAGAGGTTATTATATAATGGTAAAGGGATCATTTCAACAAGAAGAGCTAACTATCCTAAATATATATGCACCCAATACAGGAGCACCTAGATTCATAAAGCAAGCCCTTAGAGACCTACAAAGAGACTTAGACTCCCACACAATAATAATAGGAGACTTTAACACTCCACTGTCAACATTAGACAGATCAAAGAGATAGAAAGTTAACAAGGATATCCAGGAATTGAACTCAGCTCTGCACCAAGAAGACTTAGTAGACATCTACAGAACTCTCCACCCCAAATCAACAGAATATATATTCTTCTCAGCACCACATCACACTTATTCCAAAATTGACCACATAGTTGGAAGTAAAGCACTCCTCAGCAAATGTACAAGAACAGAAATTTTAACAAACTGTCTCTCAGACCACAGTGCAATCAAACTAGAACTCAGGATTAAGAAACTCATTCAAAACCACTTAACTACACGGAAACTGAACAACCTGCTCCTGAATGACCACTGGGTACATAATGAAATGAAGGCAGAAATAAAGACGTTC